CAGTTTTATTCTCACCTGAGGATGACCACTTTGTGGTCGAAACGCGTTGTGCTATTAAAATAAAAGTTTGGTGTGACGGGCTAATCGTGTTTTTGTTCATCGTTTCCATACCAAGAAGATCCAAGAAGAAGAAGATACACTGATGTAAAAAAGCGGATTACTACTAATTACTCTAATTTTGCAAAAAAAGATGTTGCAATTTATCTATCCATTGTTTCTACTTTGTTAATAATGTACATTATAATAAGTAATGTAAATAAATGATAAGTAATAATAATACATATTTATCGTAGAGTTTCCGCGAAAATGTAATGTTTTTCAACGCAAAATACAAAAAGTTCGACTTGCTAAATACCATGTTTAATGTTTTACAAATAAGGGATCAAAGGACGTAACTTCATTTAAAAATCAAAATGGAATTTTGTTCTTTATGTAAAGTTATAAGAAAAAATCTTACAAGAAATCAATGTTAGATAAAAACTTTAAAAACAGGGGAAACATTTATTTTAACTATAAAACAGCAGAAACGGTGAGTAACCCTGTATTTTTTATTTTTTTTAATTGATTTATTACTTTATTTTAAAACTTTATTATCACATCACCATATTTCTATTTTTTATTAAAGATAAATGAGATGGAAGCTGCAATAATAAACTACTGAAACAATTTATTATTATTTTATTTTGAATCACGTTAAATTACATTAAATAATAGTCATTTTCTAACACATTTTCCAAATAAACGGAGTAAATACCAACTTTTGATTTGTATAATTTGTATTAATGTATTTTTATACACATCGTTTTCCTTTCCGTGTATGTCCTCTTTGTGCAATAACTTTTCATTTATATATCAAACGATGAGTGCTGCTTAAGTCATAATCTGTGTTCTTCTTCTTTTTGGTATCAATTGATTTTAACAAACAACGAATCGAACAACCTGCTATTAATATTACGAAACAAATTACGAAAAACAACACAGGATTATCGAAAAACCAGTTTTTTATGTCCTTCAGAAGGGGCAGTTCGTAGAAAGGTTTCGATGCGTAAATAACCCCGCAAAAACATCTAAAAATAATAGTGCAATGTAATGATTTTAGGTTAGACAAGTAGACAAGTTTATTTATCAGCAATGATGTCATACAAATGATTCCAAAGTATAAATAAATACTTTTTTTATTATACCTGCATCATAATCCAAAATTAAAACACAAAGTTGTCTAGGTAGTTGTCTGGACCAATTACAACGTGGAAAAATGTGCTTAACAACGTAAACTAGTAACCGTCTCTACGAAAACCATTCACAAACAACCTTTGATAATTTTATTGTGTAAATTCACATTTTTTCAGTGCTCATAAAAGATCGTAAATGGGCAGGTATAATAAAAAATAGCGTATAACACTCGTTTATAAGCGCCTTTAAAGTGTTTTAAAGGCTTGCTTATAAACTAGTATTATAATATACTATTGTGTGACAAGCCACACATTTTTTTAAAATGACATTTTTACTCAGTGGTAATCATCAAGACTATGATAAGCCATACAGTCATGAGTTTTTCAAAAGATTTGTGGAGGTTAGTGTCTGAGTTACTACTATTTTTCAATAATTTGATTATGTGGCTTATCACGTTTTTACAATAATCCCTTCAATTAATATGTTACTTACAGTATAAGAAACACAGTTACAACTGATTTTTTAGAAGACCCCATTCTCTCAGGTCTTACAGGTAGCAGCTAACTTGGTCGCTTCAACTTATCTTTTCTATCTCATGCATGTATAAAAATACTAACACAATACGAGAAATTAATATTTGCATCAAGATTAGGTATTTTGTTAAAACAAATTTCTAGTCACAAGTCACAAGTCACAATTAAACGGGATGTAACTGGATGGATTTTTTTCTTCGATTATTATTTGTTAAATATACATGTTCAAATTGTTACACTTTTTGGAAGACAATTTGTTTTGAATTAATTGAAGCAATTATACTCATAAAATACATTTGTTTTGAATTAATTGAAGCAATTATACTCATAAAATACATTTGTTTTGAATTAATTGTGAAAAAATATAGTCCAAGACTCGAGTTGTAAATGACAAAATTTAAAATAAACTATGCAAAACTGAAGAAGTTGTGTCTATGAAAGGTACAGTTGGATTTAAAATTCTATTCATGGTCCTTATGGCCGATTCCAATCCACCATGAACCACATTTTCAAGGACGAAAAAAATGCCGTTTTCCAAAAGTTCCTTCGTTGTATTTTCCAACAAATTGAGGAGCCAGGCATTTAAGACATTTCCAGTGAAATGGAAAGAAATAATCCTTTAAAAAATTCAAACAGTGAATACAATTATTTTCCACTTCCTTACCCTGAATTATCTATGTGGAAGTCTTCCAAAAACGCTGTTAATGTTTGGGAGTCAAACCCGATCTTTACTGTTGCTGATAAATAACCGATTTTCCCTTCAATTCCCCCCTGAGACTTGAGCCCCATTATTGTGGTATCGTAGTCATAGGTGAAGTGCATTTCTTTGAAAGCGATTGGTATTGTCATGAAATATTTCTTGTGAAAATTGTATGACATAATTTCGCCTCTACGATGGATGGTCGATAAGTCACTCAACCATCCATGGGACAGTTTTATATTCCCTTGATACGTGACAATAAACGTCTGCAATCACATTTAGTTTCATTTTTGCTTAAACTAAAACTCACATTGGACAGGTTTGTAGCCACTCTAGGCATTTGTATGGGATCAAAGTCTTCATGGATCAACAAAGTGCGAATATTGAGGAAAACTTCGTCGACATAATCATTGGTTATTGTGCGATTATTACTGAATCGTCGAAATTTTCACCACATTATTATATGTAAAACAACTTACTTAATGTCTTCGATTAGTTTTTGGAAAAAAAAATGACTCAGTAGAACATTTTCGTCCAATTTGTATCTTGTGGGACATTCGACTTCTTCGATGATGTGATGGCCTAACATTTTTGAAATTAAACAGAGAAAAACTACAATTGGCTTCATTTCGCTCATCACTATCTCATTTTTTGTCACGTATTAAATTATCTTTGGAACAAAATCGAACAAAATGGTGATAAAATGTGTTTGCATAATAAAGAAAAGTGAGTAAGCGTTTGATAGATAATTAAATAAAGAAAATAATTAAGGAGAGTTTATTTTTCAATGTTGCCAACTTAATCTCTGATTAAAATAAAAAAATGCTGGTGTTGTTTCAGGACCCGGAGTCGTGGGATTCAAAAACCCATTGATCGCCTCATTTATCGCCTCGATAGCCGCCGACAGCCCCCCCTTAATGACACTCTCGACCACCAACAAAATCACCCGTTTCAGAAGAAGTGTTGTCACATCAGTCAACAAGTTGAGGAGCCAATCAACGAGCGCGTTTCCATTGAAATGAAAAGTAATTCGACTAAAAACTAAAATTTACTCTATTTAAAATTCATACCCCGAATTCGTGATCCAAAACTGATCCAAAGACACCTCCAAAGTCTCAACATTGAACCCAATTTTTACTTGCACACCCAGCGAATTGACTTTGCCCTCGATTCCCCCCGTGGGTCCCAAACCCATGATTTTCGCACTGTAGTCATAAGTGAACTGTAAGTCGTCAAAAGCGATCGGAACTGTGATTTCCAGATATTTGGTGTTGGAACTGTAAGAAGCGACAACATCGCCCCCTCGATGGATGGTCGATAAGTCGCTTAACCAGCCATGGGTCAAGTCCAACTCCCCATGGTACGTAATTATCAGAGTCTAGAAAAATTCAAAATCGATTTTTTTTCTTCAAGTGATGGGCAACGAACGTAGTTGAAGCCTGTATGCATGTCGGGCATTTCAATCGGGTCAAAACCACCATGAATCATAAGATTTTGAATATTTTGGAAAATTTTGTCAGCGTAGTCGTTCAAAATCGCTTCGGTGCCACCAAGTCTATAATTTTTGTCCAATCTCACTTTCAATCATGAATTTTAACACTTACCGTTTCATTTCTTCAACTATTTTGTTTAAAATTTTATCGTTTACGAAATTAAAATTGTATTTAGCCGGAATTTTGGTAAACTCAACACTTTCAATGACCACATCAAAATCTTGATTTTTGATGTGGTAACCCCAAACGAGGGTCAACAAACAAGTTGCAACAACTAATTTTCGCATTTTTCTCATTAACTGTTTGTTTGTTGGCGACTTTTATACACGAGAAGCGATAAAATGATTAGATATTTTCGAAATTTGCGTCTTTTGGATATATCGAGCGTCAGAAGTGTTATCACACCTGTGATTTTATTAAAAAAAAACCTTATCTAACTAAAAATTTGTTTTTCACGAATAGCATAAAATATTTTTTAATCTTTCATTTAGAATTTTTTTAACTATGTTTTATAAAATTTGAAGGTTTCTTGTGAATTCAAAAAACTGTAATTTTGGGAGAAATTTCAGGCAATGAAGCACATTTAAAAGAATTGCATAAAACTAAGGTGTAAAGTAGGTATATTTTTGTAAGTAAAAACTTTTATATTTATGTGTTTGTAGTTTAATCAATTATTTTTTTGGATAATAAATGTCGAGTAAAAGTTAAAACTGAATTTTAATCTAAATTAATTTACCACGTTTTTAGGACATCCTTATTGAGAAATTATAATAGTTGTCATTCCGTTAAGGAATTAAAAATCTGATTGTTGAGTCCACAGGGTTATTATAAATAACTGTAGTGTCGTAGTACAATGAAAAGAAAATGAAAATTTGCCGTTTCTCAGTTTATTAAATCCATTTGTCATCATGTTTTGGACATCCTTGACTAAAAATTGTTAGTTATCATACGGTTAACGATGGCCAAAAATGTGCTTAAAAGCCGATTTTTAAATCTAGGAGGTTATTATAAATGATTGTAATATCGGAGTACAAAGGAAAGCAAGGGAAAATTTGCCGTTTAACAATTTATTGAATCTATTTATAATTACATATTTTGTTAGTTTTGTTATTGTTATTTTGCAAGATATAGCTAAATTTTTTTAGGCCAAATTGGAATATTTCTTTAAAATCTCTGTTGGCATAATACTCGTAGGATAATAAATAATGAATCTATTTTCTCTCAAACAGTTAACTACATATTTTTATGTTTTATTTCAAAATTTAAGTTTACAAGATGCAAATGCAATTTTAATACAAAATTTGTAAATATTAAAGATCTAAAAATTATTACCTATAAATTGTATAAAGCGACAAATAATATTGGAAGTAAAATGATCAAACATTTTAAAGGCTATTGGATGTGACAATCATTTATAATAACCCTGTAGTATTTTAGATTGGAGATAAAGTTGGTCAAACTTGTTTTGTGAATTACCTTGTTCGCTGTTCTTACTTTTACAAAAGCAACACTTTTTTTTCAAATTTACCAAAAAAATATGTCTCTTACATTTTAGTTGTCTCCTATTTATTATACATAAACTGTAGCAAAAATTTTTTATCTTTAAAGGAATAATAAAAGAGCAATAATAACAACAAAAATTGGTTGTGATTAAGTTTGTTCAATTACAAGCTAATTAAGGTACATAAGGGCAGTGGTGGTCTCAGGGATGGGTGTTGTTGGGTTCAAAAACCCATTAATAGCGTCATTTATGGCATCAACGGCTGTTGTCAAACCTCCACGAACCACACCTTCGACTACCAGTAAAATGACTTCTTTCAAAAGAACGGTGACCACATCGGTCAACAAGTTAAGGAGCCAATCAACAAGAGCGTTTCCATTGAAATGGAAAGTGATGTGTCTAGAAACAATTATTATTTTCCTTTTCAAAAAAAAAATGAATAGAATACCCTGAATGTGTGATATAGAATTCGTCCAAGCTTGCGTGGATCTTGTCAACATCAAACCCAATTTTGACCTCGCAAGTCAAAGCAGAGATCTTTCCCTCAATCCCCCCCCTGGGTCCCAAACCCATGATTTTCGCACTGTAGTCATAAGTGAATTGCATATCATCGAAAGCGATGGGAACTGTGACTTCTAAATATTTGGAATTGGAGCTGTAAGTGACCACGACATCGCCTCCTCGATGGATGGTCGATATGTCGCTCAACCATCCATGGGTCAAGTCCAACTCTCCATGGTACGTAATGATCAAAGTCTAGAAAAGCACTGTTGGGAAAAAGTCACTTCTGGGAGGGTTTTACCAACATAATTGAATCCTGAGTGTTGGTCCGGCATTTCGATGGGATCGAACCCACCATGGATCATTAATACACGCAAATTTGTGAAAATCTTATCAGCGTACTCATTGATAACAGCTTCGGTACCACCTTTTGGATTATCTAGTTTCTTCGCCAATTCGGCCAAAATCTCTTCGGTGGGTTTCAACGATCCTGGTCTGAAGTTGTACTTGAGAGGCACTTTAGACGAATACTCCACTTTGTCTATGACCACATCAAAATCTTGTTTCTGGATGTGGTAAGCACAAATCGTGGCAATAAGACACGCGGCTATCAACAATCGACGCATTTTCTCGCTCTAGTTTCACAAAATGTAAATAACTACAATTTAAGAGTGGACACTTAATTCTTTTATAGATCCTTTTTATTATCAGAACTGATAAGGGGGCACTTGCAGTGATTGTTTTCAAATCAGATTTTGAAAACAAACATCGTTTTTCCATTTTGAAAGAATTTATTTGTTATTGCCGCTGAGATAAACTGCTATCAGTTAAATCAGTTATTTTTATTAGAACACAAGAAAAAAAAATTCAGAATATAGTAAATTTTTGTTGGAAAAAAAAAATAGACAATAAGAATGCAACTAAAAGTTTTGCATTTTTTTATATCTTTATTTAAAAACAGAAAATACTTCAAAAAATTCTGGTGTGATTCTGGTTACAATCAACATGGTCATGGCGCATAGTTCAAGTGCTTGAAGATAAATTTAACTGAAAATAGGTGGTTCGAGAGTTTAAGTTTGATTGTTTAAAACATCTGACACAAAAATACTAGTTATCTGTTATTTATTTTGTAACAAAAAATGCACTACAGGAGGTTTGCCAAGCTCAGCAATTACTTACTTATATCGAGAGATCAAGATAATTTGTAATCTTTGCATCCGAAAACGTATGTTTGTTTTTGAACTAACTGCACGTAAAACGTCAAATAAAATGTCGAAAAGTAAAACGGCAAAATGGGTTGGAATTAGTCGCCGACGTATATGTTTTAAAGATAAATCATAAATTTAGTTATTAAAATCATCACCTTTTTCAACATCATGCTATTTTACCTTTTGACTGTTCATTTTATTTGACATTTCACAGACAATCAGACATACGTTTTCGGATCCAAGGATGACTCGATTACAAATTATCTTTATCTCTCGAATGATTGTAATAATTTATTATCAATGTTTTCGGCAACTTTTTCTAGCTTCGATGGGGCCCACTTCCACCGTTTTGAATTTTTAGATCGTTTGGTGTCTGTCATTAGGTAGGTACAGCGACAATTCAACACTTTAAAATAAAATAATTGACTTCTTGCCATTTTAAATTTTTTGACAATTGAATTTGAATTGTCAGTGGTAGGTAAGCACCAATCAACATGCTATGAATACAAAATTCCCTAAATTGCAAGATTTTCAATTTTATCAATTTTTGTTGAAAAAATGAAGGCAAAAAAAATCATATATTGCACAATAGGCTGTATAATAAAACTCGGACAATATACTAAAGTCGCGGTCAATTCATAACGCACACTTCCCTGTGTTAATTTGTAAAAATTGAGTTGTATAAATCCGACTTTAAGAATCCAATTGTTTTTTAGGGACATATCTATCAAAAATAACAATTCTACTAGAGGTGGCGGGTGAGAGGGGTCGCCAACTTTGCAATAAATTAGATGGCCACTATGAATTGACTTTATTATGGTTAGGCAATCAATAAAACACGCATTTAGTGCGTTGTCATTGTCAAGGTTGGCACTAGGTCGATTACATAACATAACCTCATTTCTCCCATAAAATGCTCCTAAAATATGTTTACTAGAAAATCCACATTGGTGAAAAAGACAGGCCCGGACCGCGTGGGTCGTTACGAATTTCTCAAGCAGTTAATCGTTGAATTTGGGACAACAAAATCCCTCGGTGAGTGTCACACTTGGGCGCGAAATTCAAAATTATTGCAAATTTTCAGAAGCGAAGAAGCAGGTTTTGGCAAATTTGGCCAATTTTTCGTACGATCCCGTCAATTTCGAGTTTCTGAAGCAGCTACACGCCATTGATTTATTCCTTGCGCAACTTTCTGAAGACAACGAGGATTTGTTACATTTTGGTATCTCAGCATTGTGCAACCTAAGTCCAGGTTTATCAACAAACATAAATTACATAATCAGAAACAATAATGTTTTCAGACGACGAAAGCAAGGATTACATCATCAAACTCAACGGAATTAAACTCATTTCGGACAGATTGCTCCACAAAAACGACCAAATCGCACTGAATGCTATTACAACCCTGTATTATCTTATTATTCCCTCAAACAAACATTTAGTGACTCCGGAGATATTAGACAAGATCCGGCTCTACGAATCCCACCCGGATTCTCGCTACAAAAACCTAGGAACAATGTTTATGGAGGAAACGAGAAATGATTAGGATTCGGCACTTTTCCACCAAAGCCACATTCCTCAAAAGGGTGACCAAAACCGATTTGGAGAAATTTACAGATTTGAGTGGCGACACGAACCCAATTCACTCCACAAATGGGCCACAGAGGGCGATAGTACACGGCGCGTTACTCAATTGTTACGTTTCTAAAGTCATAGGGACGCAATTACCTGGACCGGGCTCTGTCGTAATAGCCCAAACTTTGAATTTTCCGAACAAATGTTACGAGGGAGACGAGGTAAAAATCACCGTAGAAGTGGCGGAAAATCGGAAAATTACCACAGTTAAATTCACCTGTGAAGTACCCGAAAGGGGAGTGGTACTTTATGGAGACGCCAAACTAATTCCCCCGAAAAATAAATAATTTAGTTGAGAATTTTTGTATTTTTTGCCGCCCTTGAGTCGGATTTAAACAAAAATATTTCAAACTGGGTCACAATTCTTTCAATGTTTATTGTTTTGTTTTCCTCAAGAATCCGCCAACTACGCATTGAGGTGTTATTTAAGCCCGGCCAACTCTGATGCGGTCACTTTGTGTGCAGCACCCTGTAATTATGTTTTTCGGTTTAATGGTGGTTCTCGCCCTCTGTGCCCTTGCTAGGGCAGGTGACCCCAACGGCATAAAAACCACCGACAAACCAGTTCCGTGCACATGTGGTGTGTTCTTGAGTGGACAGTTCAAGAAAGGGTCAAAGGAGCAGCCCAAAGGGGTGCCCGTCCTCACACAGGAAATGGACACCCCCTTCATGAACAACGCCATGGGAAATCGCCAGTGTACCAACAAGTGTTTGGAAATGGTTCGTATTGTTGGGGCTTAGTGGGGTGGAAAAATGGGTAATGACAGGATGTGGGTGTAATGGCTGTCTTTTCAGATTATCACGCATTTGCCTAAAAGTGCAGACATCATTTGTGCCACCACAGACCGGGATTTGGTGCACAAGGAGAGGGCCTTTCTATTCATCAAAAACTACAACGACAAGTGGCAGAGCACTAACTTATCGGCAGGACGCGAGTTCTGCTGCAAGGACAACGTCCCTTACAAGTGTCCCATGAGCTGATAAAACACATTTTTGTATTTTTTTCCTAAAACCAATAAAACTTCTTTTGCAACCGTTGTTTTATTGAATGGGGTAAACTGGACGGATAACTGTCAGTAGTAACTGTCAGTTATCTGTCAAATTTGGGTTAATTTTTTTCTAAAACAAGCTAAAACTTCCCATTGACAACATATTTGGGATAGTTACTGTTTTTAATGTCTCCTCTGTAGTTTTTTTTTTATAATAAGTAATTTAACATTTGAGTATAGACAAAGGTTCAGGAGAACGCTTACACTATAAAGTGGGTTTAGCTTGCGCCGCCACTGGACAGCCTTAAATAACTCGTAATGCTTTTCCTTTGGTTACGGCGAGGTGTTAACCTACTTTCTCGCTGCGTACACACACAACCCTACGAGAAAACGCAATTTTAACGGCTCCTCCTAATCGCGAACACCGTTAGAATTCTTCGTTTGATTTTCGCTGGGATGTTCGTTCATATCTCACATAAAACCAACACCTGAGTCAACCTGTTGTTGTGACCTTGCTTTTCGGCCCCGAGCAAGTAGCGCGTTGCATAATTCGCCCCTTTTGGTTCCCCTTGTGTGGTAGCCCCTCCTCGGCCATGCATAAAACTCGTCGTAATGATTTCCGGTAAAAAAGAGACTCGCTTTTTGATGATAGAAAGACAAATGGTGCGTTAAGAGCAACCCTTCCAAGGGAAATGAACGCTGATTGAGGACTCGTTATCGGCGGACGTTGACCCATCATGGGTCAAAGGGTTGACTTGACGCGAGATAAGATCGAGTTTTTCGGAGAGTTATGTAATGAGGCGAAAAACGGCCTGTCTCCGCCACTGGTGTTATCTGAAACCAGTAGGTTTATCTCGTAATAAAACCTGTAGATTATGTCGGGTTGTGTTGGTAATTTCGCATTGTTTAAGCGGTGACTCTCCCATACTCATCATGCTCTTGACATCGATGCGGAGAGGGGACCTCTTCTAGATTTGGAAAAATTCAAAAATTTTGCACACGCCACTGGACTAGAAGTGGTGAATCAAGTCGCCCGATTTTGGACTTTTTCCTTAAAATACCGGGTGATCGAGTAGCGCAAACTATCGAAAAAATCATCCCAGCATAATTTGAAATTGAATTTAAAAATTTTGAATTAAAAATGTTTATTTACGACTTAATTAATTAAGGAAACAAAGAAACATCTAAGACTAGTGGTGTTGTTGGTGCGATTTCAAAGTAGGTATAGTACAGTTGGAGACAAAATACTTTGGTTGTCACTTTTCTGACAATTTAATGTAATTCAACCTTTAACGTTAAAATAAATGACAAATTAATGCCAGCAATTATATTTTCCTATCAAAAATATATACAACTTGTCACATGTGATTGACAGTAGCTAAAAATAAGGTTAACAGTTCTAAAGCATGCTTTACAATTTAATGTCACTCAAGTGACATAGACGACTAAAGTATTTTGTCTCCAACTGTACACGAGTTGTAATTACATTACTCACCCTTTCGTCGCTCAACTCTTATTATATAATATACTAATACTGACTAATTTCATTAGTTACATTTTTATTAATTTCCAAGCTCCACAAACATTAAGAGTAAAAAAATATACTATTACCCGCCACTGCTCTGAATTTTATATAGGGTTACCATAGCATTTTTGTAGTTACATACATTGTTTGCTGCATTTCCATAGCAACAATAGGAATATGCTTCCACATATTTTTCAGCCGACTCGTTAGGATGGATAAAAGGGTTTTCATAATTAGAACAAAAAAAAATTGAAAATAAAAAATTCTGTTTATAATGAAATTATAAACTATTAAAAATTATAAATTATTATTAAGCAATGAAATTAAGTTTTTTCTTTACATCTATTTCTGAGAAGCTCTGTATTACTATTTTTTTAAATCGACATGCGTTATCTTATCTGTTTTATTTGTATACCGATCCAAATGAAAGATCATTGAAGTTGTGTTTTTCTTTTTACATACTCCTACATTTTTGTAATGTCTAGTCAATTTAACGCACATCATGGTAAAAAAATTCTGGTATAGTAAAATTTTGGCTGTTTGAATCTGGTCTGAAAGCACATAATATTGAATTGCGTTATCAGGCCATGACCAAGAACTGCATTTTTACTGATTTATGGATACTTAATATTTATTGTTGCTGTTTGTGTGCTTTCAATTTTAAAAACGTTAGTTTGACAAATACTTAACCCTTCTATGCTTTTCTGTCACATTTTGTATGTTTTTTTCTGTAACACAAATTCTTTTTTTACACAGAATTCAAATGTTTGTGATCTAGTTAAGTACTTCACCTCAAAAAAACTTCGTTGTGACTTCTGGAGAATTTGAGAATTTTAGGAAGACACAGTTGGCAACACTGTTTGGAAGTGTTGAAGAAATTGAAAAAGAACCGAAAAGCCAGAAACAATGAGCAACAAAATAGGGATCAAGAGTAATTGTTTTTTCTAACCTAGAGGTGAGTTTGATGTAAAAAAAAAGTATAATGTCTCTTGTCAATGTGAAACTGTCAACAACTGGCAATTGTTTCAAAAGTTCTAGTCTAGTTGTACCGCTTAGAAATTGTTCAGTATTGCCAACTCACTCTTGCTCACCCGGTATTTAATTGAAACGATGCGAAAAAAGAACTTCTTAATCTTAGTTACACAAGGAAATTACAATATATCAAATGTTATGCAAAAAGGATAGAAAATAACAAATCAGTTCAGAGAATATAACGAAAAAATCGATGACAAATTTGTCATTTTTCGCCTGGAATTCCGTTACTTTTTCTCATTTGTTAATATCACAGCCCACTAATTTGAACTTGAAAGATTGTTTCATCACCCTGTACAGGGTGCTGCATTTTGGATGTCCGAATAGGGAATCTCCGAAACTAAGAGGTTTAGCCAAAAACGAGTGATACATTCTGGAGCTCATTTTTTGAGAAAATAATATTGGTTAAAACCGCATCCCGCTATCGTCTTTTGTTTTCGACTTACAGACAAAAGTTGACATTTTGGCAAAATCTAAAAAAAATTATATCTTTGTTATTATAGAAGGCACAGATTTGAAATAAAGACATTATAAATGCACTTTTTACGAAGAATTTAATAATGTAGTTAACAATTTTTTTCAGTTATTAGTTTAGCCGTAATAAGATAAACTTGTATTTTTTTAAATGGAAATTATAGGCGGCTATGGCAATTTAGAAAAGCTTATTTTTTTCTGATCTAAAAAATATATATTTGTAACAAAATATTTTTTTATAACTATACTTAAAAAGTGAAATACATATTTTGTGTGATAATAGTTGGCCATGGAAAAACTATTTCACTCCAAATGTGTAAATAATAATCAATAAAAGTTTTGTGAACTGTAAAATAGATGAAAAAATAGACAAAATTATGAAAATTTAAAAAATACGATACGGTAGAAGAATTGAACAAATATGCAAGCGCCTCAGAATAAAATTATTACATATTTTTAAAAAATCCAAAAATAGGAAAAACAAATGTGTCAACAGTCAACACAATTAGAAAAAACATTTTTTTGATGATCTAATGGAGGTAGGATAACGTTTCACATAGACGGAATTTGGGTATTTGAATAGCCATATCGTCATTTTTGTGTCATATAAAATATATTTTATTAAAGAATTAAAGCGGCTTTTTTTTACAACACTCTATGTATCATTAGAAGTTGCAATGGTAATGTTAGCTTGTTTAAAAACAAAGAAATGTTATTAGTCGGCAATAAGTTGATTTACAATTTATTTTGCATTTTTTTCATTACTTAGTACTTAGAAAACTCTTTCATTAGTGACACTGGTTGAATATAATATAGTTTAAATCCTTTTAGTTGACGGTGCAACATTTTTTCATGGCCAACTGCGAACAAAAATCAAAGATAATTTTTTGTAACAGATTATATAGCCATCTATGATTCCCATTTAAAAAAATAAAAGTTTATCTTATTACGTCTAAACTAATAACTGAAAAAAATTGTTAACTACATTATTAAATTCCTCGTAAAAAAGTGCGTCTATAATGTCTGTATTTCAAATCCGTATCTTCTATAATAACGAAGATATATTTTTTTTTAGATTTTGCCAAAATGTCAACTTTTGTCTGTAAGTCGAAAACAAAAGACGATAGCGGGATGCGGTTTTAACCAATATTATTTTCTCAAAAAATGAACCCCAGAATGTATCACTCGTTTTTGGCTAAACCTCTTAGTTTCGGAGATTCCCTATTCGGACATCCAAAATGCAGCACCCTGTACATGATTTTTAATATTTTCTCGTGTAATTCTCACAGTAGTAGCTTGTTTCTGGGAAAACCGTCCTTCTTGCGGTACCCCACCAGTGCTGGTCGTTGAATTTTTTCACGTTTCGTTCCAGTCGTTCGTTTCTTTGTTGTTTGGGGATGCATCCGTCGTAACTTGTATCTCGTGGAGCAGGGCAGCCACGGGGTTGCCCGGTTGTCGACCCGGAGCAGCCCAGCGGTGCGTATCGCTCCCCGCACACCCTCTGGAGTCCGTCCGCCGCTGAAGAGAGCCAGCACTCCCTCGGCCTCGGACGATGACCATTGTGATGTCACCGCCGCTGCACACCACATCTGTTTCGAAATCTAACTGTGCTACCGAAGACAAATTCCTCGGGTAGTGACCCTTTGAAAAAATCAATTGGCCCCAAAATGCATTTCCGGTGAATTAGCGTCCACCCGGAAATTTCTTTCGTAAAACGTCTTTATCGTTCTCCAAACAGGATCTATGTTTAACCACCGCTGATAAGGGTAACGGCATTTGGAGGTCACCTCGAGCCGTTGCGTTCGAGGTCGAGGGGCAAAAAGCCGATCTTAAAAATAATGTAATAAGCAAGGTTCGGTCGAGAGGGTCGCTATGGGTGTTTTTGATTACATCAGCGAGGAGCGGCCCCCACCACCCACAAGGATAAATATTTCTCAATTGGCGAGCGGGGAGCGACGCGAGGGTAAATTTGGTTAATGCGAGATCAAGGACGAGATTTTTGTTTGGGAAATTAACACTAAGCGCATTTTTATGTTGAGATGAAGATGTCGACGAGTGCTACAAGTACCAAATCGACACCTTTTAAGGGGAGCGAGTGTGGGAGCCGAGTTTCGACGATTTTTTACTCAAATACCAAGGCTACACTCGGTACAACATTCATTATAATTATGACAAATTTTCTTCACTGGCTACTAGCATTTTTTTCCGACTTGTTCAAGGTTAAGGCAATTTTTTTGTTGCGGAATAATCAAAGAGGAGGTAAACACGGTCTCAAATTAATTAATTGAATCGAAAAGTGCCACTAATTATAATTATTTGAGCGGTCCCACCTAACTACTTAGGATAATATAGGAGAAATGGATGGGTGGGTCACCTGCATTATTGGATATTTTTACCTCCATTGTTGGGGAAACTTGTTCTTGCAACTTGTATCAAAATAAATACATACAGGGTGAATAAAAAGTATTGAACCAAACGTTTTTTGCTTAAACTACTTATGTTCTGAAAAAACTAATTGGTAAATAAAAATGTGACGTTTTAACAAAAACAAAATTTTACAAAATTTCTGTAAATTTTTTGTTTTTTTTAATGGCAACCCAAAAAAATTTCGTATAAGTTACCATTTTGACAAAAAAATTCAAAAGCAAAACACGATTACAAGCTGTACATCACGTTAATTTTTATTAATTATTATGTTGTGGAGGCAAATAATTAAAAAAACCTCCCAAAACACCTCTTTCTAATTAAACTAAAATTATGAAACCTATTAATGTTATCACTAAATTAATATCTAATTTAACCAGAAAAAAAAGATTTGTACAATTTTACCAAAAAATTACAATTTGATTAAAACTCATTTTTATATTATTTGTTGTATTTTGGAACCATAAACTTGTTTTTGTCATTTGCCTCCATTTTGATTCTCTAATAGACATATTTTAAAGAACGCGACGTCATCATGTGCCACAGTCAAAAGGCGAATACATCAAATTATGACCTTTAAAATTAAGACTTTACCAATCGTCACAATAATCCCTAGATCGTTTAAAATAAAAAAAAATTGTTTGAAAACGACATAAAGAGAGCAAATTTTAAAAAATAGTGTAAAAAAACTCGTTTCATAAGACCTTGAAGCACTCATTCTTTAAAATAACTCTTTGCTAAGCCACTCGTTTTTTAAACTTGACTTCGTGCTTCAAGACTAGTCTTATGAAACTTATTTTTTAGTATGCACTAAAGAGGGCATAATTCGACTTTTATACACCCTTGAGCTTTTAAGACCCTGGTCTTAATCACATAGTATAAAAATAGGTGTAGTTTTACCCTAAATTCGCCCGAAATATTGAAAATTCTCATTTGATAGAAGCAAAACGCAAACCAAAATACAATAAAACGTTGTATTTGCCACGGGTGTAATTGTCGCTTATGGTCCTCGGGAAAAGTAAAAGCCCTCTTAACGTAAGGCTTTAAACATTCCTTCTATTAAGGCCTTAAAAAATCAACAAAAGAAAACTATTTCAGTAGCCAAGAAGTGCTTAGTTGCACAGGAGAAAAAAAAATTATCACTTAATAATCACAACATTAGTCAATAGTGGAGCTTACTAATTCATCGGGACATCCTGTATATAGCTTTGACAAAAATCGTTGACATTAAATTGTAATTGATTAATTAAGTAAAAATGAAACGGTTAACTCTAAAATGTTTTTCTATTTGGAAAAATCACTCACATTTTTGTCCAATTTTGTTTTAATTGGGAAGAGGTGTTTTAAATTCGCATTTCAAAAAAATCGAATTGGTGAGAACTAAACCGTTTTGTATACAGGTGATTCATATAAAACCGCCAGCCTGATCAACTTTAAATAAATATTTATTTAATCACACTGACATGTCAACTGTCACTTTGACATTTAAATTTCCCAAAGTTAATGTATGACGTTTATTCCAAGGCTATCAAAACATGATGACAAGTAAATTAAACAGTGACTGACGTATTATTGGTTGTATTCAATATTTGTAAAGCTCGTACATGTCGTAGTATTATATGAATCACCCTGTAAATACAAGAGAAGATTTCTAAGAACGAATTATTTTATATAGCTTTAAAGATTAAATGATAGCGTTTTAAAATACCGCAGTGCTCTTCTCGAGGCCCTCTCCTTTACACATGTATTTTTTCGTATCAGCAATTCATTGAATAAAACGTCGATGGTATAAGAATCCGATTATGCTCTCTGCATAATAAGTGAAGCCTTTTCGACCCGGTGTGTAATAGTCAATCGGGCACAGTTTTGGTGGCATTGTTGACAATCTGGCGCAAAGTTCGTCGGATGTAAATTTATGCAAAAGAGAAATATGTCGGTGGGAGGCGTGAGGGCAGGGTTGTTGCCCTTCGTGTCCGTCTTCAAGGCCACATATTTTTCGGAGGAAAAGTAGATTGTCCAACAGTT